GAGGAGCTCAGCCTCCAGCCTGGGCTGCAGTTCTTATATCACTCCTGGTGATGTTGAACATTTGTTCGTTCCGCCTGTAAAACCTCTCCTGGCTCCATACCAGGTATTTCCCCACCTCAGTGCCTCAGCTGGAGCAGAGCTGCTGGAGCGTGTGGAGCTCAGGCACAGTGGCCTTCAGGAGTAATGTGCTCTTTGTTGGGTGACAGCCCCTATGTGGGCTCCCCCTTCCTGGGGGGCTCACTGACCTCACAGGTCAGGATGACAGTGAGGAGAAGGATAAAGCTTCCAGTGACCTTCCCTGTGCCTGCAGGATCCCACCCAGGGCCATCCTGAGGGAGCCTGGACAACCAGCTCCAGCACCTCAGCACAGCTGAGTGGCCCGAAGGAGCTGGTTCACTTTGGGACAGAACTTCTGGAAAGCTCCAGGAATAAGGAACACTCGAACCGGTTGCCACAGCCAGATTGGTGCCTGAGGGTGAGGATGGATACATGGATGGAGAAGCAGATTCTGAGCAGGCTCTGCCTGCAGCTCTGTGTACAACAGGACTTTGAGTTCAATTACGGAATCGTTTAGGTTGGAAAAGCCTTCTGGGATCATGGAGTCCCACTGTTCCCCCGGCTCTGTCAAGGCCACCATTAACCCATGTCCCCAAGTGCCACATTCATGTGTGTTTTGAACACCTCCAGGGGTGGTGACTCCACCCCTGCCCTGGGTAGCTGTGCCAGGGCTGGACAATCCTTTCTGTGAAGAAATTTTCCCAATATCCAACCTGACCTTCCCCTGGCACAGCTGGAGGCTGTTCCCTCTCCTCCTGTCCCTTGTTCCCTGGGAGCAGAGCCCACCCGCCCCCGTGGCTGCTGCTGGAGCTCTCAGAGCCCTTCTCTGCCGGGACCTGCCCATATGGGGCTCATCAACACCAGGATGGGGACGGGGCTGGCCCCAGCTGGGCATGGAGCCCGGGGCTCTGGGGTTGGAGTGAGGGGGAGGTTGGGGGTGAGGATGAGGGTGGATCGGGGGTGAGGGTTAGGGAGAGGATGACGGTGAGGATGGGGGTGAGGATACAGATGAGTGAGAAGAGGATGGTGAGGATGAGGATGACGGTGAGGATGATGATGGTGAGGGTGACGGCGGTGTCCCGCTCTCCCTTG